AGCCAGGACGATAACCTCCGTATGCATGCATGTAAATAGCTTTGAATCGTCAGTTATCTAAATACTGACCTATCTGATCAGCCAAAACTCTTACAATCATTTTTCATATTCCTTGTTTTCATGTATCTAATTTTATTTAAATTACATTCGTACATTTGATCCCTGATATCGCCAAGTAAAATTGAGATGAAGGTTTAAATTTAACTTTGTTATTTTTTGGTTCATTTCTGTTGGGTTTTTCTTGGAATCTTTAAATTATTGGTTTTCGAGAATTTGTAGTAAATATTTATAGTTGGAGTAAATAACTTAAAAGGGTATAAAGGACGTGACTTGAGTTGAAGTTTTAATTTAATTCTTTTAACAGTAAATTAATTTTTCTTTTAAACACCACTTTTTTAGTTTTTTTAAAATACTTTTCAATGTCGCACAACATCAATCAAAATTTAAATTCATGCTCTGTTCTTTTACGTTTCATCATTCTTCAAATTCTATTTCATTCAAATATTCCTCTTCTATAAAAAAAGAAAAATTGCAACAATAAAAAAATCGTTAACTTCTACATGCTTGAAGGAGCATTGGAAAATTATCGTGGTTAAGATATCATCAAATAACAATTATAAATTAACGATGTCTTCTTCACTTATACAAAGGGAATCTTATTGACGTGTTATAATCATGACTCGCATTTACACCCTGTTCCTATCAGAGCTATATCTCTTACTTTCATTCCTTCTCAATCACATCTTCAGTAATTTCATGATCGGTCGAGTGACTTCTAGTAAGAAACTGGACGATACATAGCTACGACCCCACAAGAGTGTCATGTGATTTTATCACGAGATCATCTATGTAGTCAGGATAAATGGTAGACTGCGGCTTGGATCTCAGTGACAAGCACTTTTTATTTTGAGACGTCGTATCGATGAGTCGCTGTCTTTGTTCCTGTCGATTCCAATGACAAGCATATCGAGTGATTGTCTTAATCATACTATTTGTATCAGTATCAAAAACTTTATTGTTTTGTTCTACATGGTTTATTTTTTATTCAATTGAATATTTCATTCAAAACTACTGTAAGCTTCAATATGCATTTTTTGATTAATTGATTGACGAAAAGGATCTGTAGGATTCACAGAAGCATTAAAAGTATTACTAAGAAAAATTCCAACGTTTGTTTTTTTATTGACTGTCAATTTTTAATTTTAAAGAAATTTAAGTTTGATAAATTTAATTTATTTTTTGAATAGTTTTTTTTTTGCTAATTTTTTAAACGCATTTGTACAAGAATAATTAAATATGATACAACAGTACTGGACACCTGAAAACATAATTCAAGTTTTTATTTAAATTTTAAAAGAGTTACACTAATTAAATCTCGAATTAAATTTGAAAATGTTTTTATACTTACAGAGTACAGTAGAGATCCATTCAATGGCATTAATTCATAAATTTTAAAGGAAATATTTGTACTCAACAGATTTTCAGAAAAGTCTAATAACTGTTATAATATTAAAAGCATTTATTATTGATGAAAAATGATTAATTGATTCAATAATTTACCTCATGCTCAATTTCTTCATCAATGTTACATAAATTTAAGAGCCAATGAATATTATCCACAGTTTGATGCATCTTAACAAAAGTAATAATTAGTTTTTTATTTATTTATTCATTTATTATAAATAAGAAAATAAAGTTACCTCTTTGGTAATTATGTTAACTTGCATACTTAAAGCTACCAAATCGTATGTGATTAATATACACCATGATCCATCACACACATGATCCATTAAAGTGTAATTGACTGGCATGAACTTTGATAAAAGTATGTAATATAAACTAAAAATCATTGATGCACCCAAATAAATAATACCCAATAGAGTTGGAAATGCATAAAAATTCACAATTTGACTACAAACAGAACTAAGTTCCACATAAGCATGTTTGATGTTTATCATTTCTGTTAAAACAGTCTTTTTAATAGGAAATTTTATAATAAAAATCGATCTGAATTCTAAGTCTGTTGGCATATTTGCAAGTTTCAATATTAACTTATTCATGCACTTAAATCTATGAGCAATTAAATTTATAGTCATCGTGTATTGTATCAATACCCAGCTAGATAGCGAAATTGCTATGTTCCAAGTTAATAATTGGATTAAAGGAAGGATAATAACATGAATTGTCATTAGAAATATCCAAATGATTGAATTAATAAAAACTAATATATAAGGCCAATAATTATTATCTAAGGTGTATTCTCTGCACGAGTATAGAATTTTATCTACATTCAAAACTTTTTTTACAGCTTTAGTGATCTTTTTTTGTTTTACAGTGTAAAATAATAATATGATTATTGATAGAATATATCCATAGACAATTAAATTTGATCGAACAGCTGTAGTAATTGCAGTTTTATCATATGAAGTGTATATAATAGATGATAATCTGATATGCGAAATTATGATAGTGAGAATCAAAAAAATATTATAAGCTGATCCACAACGTGATTCAGAGAAAATAAAATTATTTTTATGTATCCACTGTTTTTTATGATGAAAATCCGTTCGTAATATTTGTTTTTTTTGAAAAATATAAGGTGTATTAATTTTCCATGGAAGTAATCCGAATATTTTAAAAACACAAAAATTCGAATAAAAAATTATTTTTGTACATGTGATTAAGAGTGTTGATGTTATTTTCTTGTTCACTAAATTATTATAAACAAAAGTTTTCATTGTAATTTTGTGTTAAATTAACAAACAATTTTATAAATAATGTACACAAAAATTATTGTCTAGAACTAATACTCTTCTCGCTCAGTAAAATACATTGCAACTGAATTGAAGGCATAGTTATCAAAATCTAATCGATATGATGTATCTATTTTTAGTCGTATAGAAATTCCAATTTATCATTTTGTAATATTTTTTTTTTTCTCATTTGTTTAAGATGATAAAGTATATTGCCTTAATTTTCATAATTTCAAACATGATATTGCTGAACAAAGTTGTTTCGATGAGTTCAAGCATTCAGTTATTATTTAGCATCTGGGAAGATAATCAAATGACGTTGAATAAAGTAATGAAAATCTATGACTATATTAAAAACTGAGACGAAATTGAAGAAGAATTATTAGATCTGATACAATTGCACTAATTATCTGAAAAAAGATTAATTAAAAAAAATTACATTTATTCTAAAAATTGAATTTATTGAGAAAAAGTTTTGCAATAAAAAATAATTTCTTATTTATTTTTACCAATGAACACTTACTACATACAATAGTGAACCATCAAGAGCCATTACTTGGTATATTTTAAAAGGGGCTTCCTTCTTAAGTAGGTCTTTAGAAAATTCTACCAGCTTTAATAATAATTTAAATTATTTAGTGCGATGTAACAATAATAAAATAAGTAGAATAAGTCAAACATGAAAAAAGTGTACCAACCTCATTCTCAGTGTCTTCACTGATGGTACATAAATTTAAAACCCAGTGAATATTATCAACTGTAATATTTATCTGAAAAAATTTTTAAATGTAATAATAGCAATAATTTTTTTAAGATTATAATTAAAATTTATTACCTCTTTTTTAATTGCATTCACTTGTACAGCCAAAGTTAATAAATCATAGAAAATCAAAAAGTACCATGAGATATCACTCACATGCTCAATAGGACTATATTTATCATTTCGAAGACGAGCCAAAAATATAAAATACAAACCATATGTAATTGATGAACTCAAATACATAATAGCAAATAAAATAGGCAATGCATAGAAATTAGCTATTTGATTACAAACTGAATGAAGTTCTGAGTAGACATAACGAATGTTTATTATTTCTGGTATAATAGATCTTCCAATGGGCAATTTGATAAGAAAAATAGAGTGAAATTCTAAGTCTGTTGATATTCTACCAAGTTTTAGAATATATTTATTAATACATTTAACTCTGTATGTTAGTGCGTTCAAAACCATTGTGTATTGTATTAAAACACCATTACAAAACATGAATGATATACTCCAAGTTATAAAAATTATTATTGAAAGTATTATTGTTTGAAATATTATGAGTCCAATAAGTATCAGTAAATTAACGAAAAATAATACATAAGGCCAATTATTTTTTTCAGAAATGAATCCTTTACATGTACCTAGAATTTTGTCTATTACTAAAAGACGATCAATAGCTTTCACCATTGTCTTTTGTTGTACGGTAAAAAATATTAGAATAGACATTGATGTAAAATATCCAAAAGCTACTAGATTTGTTCGAACTGCTCGAGTTGTAATGGCATTATTATCTAATAACAATATGTATATTGACGATGATAAACTTAGGTGAATACATGTTACAACAAACATTAAAAAAATATTGTAAAAAGATCCGTAATATGATTTAGAAAGTTGATAAAGGTCTCTGTGAGATGGTACACCAGTTTGGAAAAGACAAAAATCTTCTATTTTCCAAGGAAATAGACCCCATATTTTAAAAATATAAAATGAGAAATGTAAAAATTTGTTAATACAGCATAAATTAAACTTTGATTTATAATATACAAGTTGGCGTTGATAAAAAATTTTGCACATAATTTTACTTCAACTTTTTGTAGAAATGACTTGTTCACTGTTAAGTTATTTGAGGAAAGAATATGCAGTCCTTGCATTGTCACTTTCACTTAATCAATGAATATACTTTTCTCTCTGTAGTTTATATTGAATATGGACGCATTATCTTTATCATTTTACCTTATTTCAGTCATTTTATTATTCACTTCCATTTACTTAATTTACTTGGATATACTTAAATAGAATTGTGGATTGAAATACGAAAATTTATCATTTAGAAAAACGTGACAATTAATTTAAAAACGGTAATAAATAAGAGTTCATTGAAGGCCTCTTTAATTTTGGAAATATTTTTTTTATAATAAAATTTCAACGTAAATTTTAAGAAAGTGTCATAAATGTTTTCTAATGTATGTTATTATCAACCCGTATCATACATGCGTGTACTTCGATAAACGTTGAATCTGTAATAGAAATAAATGTTTAAAAAATAATTTATTCTCATTATACTTAATAAAATAAATTATCTTATACAATCATCCGGCGCTTGAAATAATTAATAAAATTCTTTCGTAGAAAAATTACAACATTGATAAAGTTATACTCTTTATGTAATAACTTGCTTTATTAACAAATAAGGATGTTACTGACCGAGCAAAATAATAAAAATTAATGACTGTTTAATAAAATTAGTTAAATTTTAGTCTTTACTATAACTAATCTTAGCTTATAAAACATATTTTGAATATACCATCAATTGATTTGACATCAATTTTTTGACGATAGTAATTACTGTTCATGTATGTTCATCATTGTAAAAACGAAATTGTATTAGAATTATTAGATATGAAATAGCAGTGCTGATAATCTGTAATCAGTAAAATTTATTATGAATAGTTATTATTTGCGAATTTAGTTGATTTAATCTTATACTTACAGCATACAATAAAGAGCCATCTAATATCATCAAATCATACACTTTAAAGGGTATGTTCTCATGGAGCAGATGTTGAGAAAATTCTTTCAACTATAATGTAATATCAAATGTAATATAAGCAAAGGAAGATTTTTATTCACTCACATACTTTTTTTTCTGTTTTTTTATCTAGTCTATGTGTATTCAAAATCCAGTGAATGATATCTACTGTTCTTTTTTTCTGAAAATATAAACACTTTGAGTCGATTTAAAATCGAAAACTGATAATTGTAAATTATTACCTCATTTGTAAAAATGTTGACGTATGTACTTAAAATTATTAAAATATAATAAACCACAATATTCCACACAATCTGCATGATTCGTTCCGGCATGGAAAAAGGCACTAGTTCATAATGCGTAATAATAACAAAGTAACAAAAATATAGACTCAAAGAGCATAAAAATATTATAGCCAATAAAGTAGGAAACGTATAAAAATTAGCTATTTGAAGACAAACAGAATAAAGTTCTATGTATGCACATTTTATATTTGTAATCTCAGTATCAATGGACTCGATGATTGGTAATTTAACAAACAAAATAGACTTACTTTCTAAATCAATCGATATTCTATTTAATTTAAGCAAAAACTTATTTATAGATTTTAATCTATTAATTATTATGTGTAACACTAAACTATACTGTGTTAGAACCCAATTGCACAATACTGCTGGAATAGACCACGTAAAGAAAACTATCAAAGGACGAGTCGCTAATTGTAACATCGTTGCAGAAAAACACGTTAATAAATTGATGAAAAGTAGATAATGAATCCCCAAATTATCTACTAAGATATAATTGTTACATGCGTTTAGGACTTGATCAATCTTTGTAAGTTGATTAACAGCTTTAGAAATAATTTTATGTCGTACAACAAAGTATATCAAAATAATTAATGTTGTTATAATTCCATAAAATATTAAACATCTTCGGACTACTGTAGTTGTTCCTGTCTCATCAGTTGTCTTTTGTACTTCAATATAAAAATTTATATGTAAGCTCGTGAACGATACTATTAAAAAAATATTGTAAAAATGTTTATAGTATGATTTCTTGGCTGCTTGATTATCCGGATCAGTGGCTTTAGTATGAGAAATAGAAAATAAAGTAATTTTCCATGGAAATAGTCCGAAGACTTTGAAAAAAAATGAATAAAAATATAATAAAAATGCAGTATTGATAGAAAATTTTGAGGGCTGCATAAGAACTGAATAAAAATAGAATACAGAAAATTGATAGCTCAGTTTAATGTAAATGACAAGAGAACTATTTAGCAACTGAACTACTAGCTTGTTTCTTAAACTCAATCGATAAAGTTATTTATCTATCGCAGTTAACTTTATGCCCATTATTGCCTTTACCATTATTACTTCATTTATTATTTATTTCCACTTATTCAATTACCAAAACATTCTTTGCTAATGTCATAGACAGATATACAGAAATTATTTCGTTTTAAAATGTAAAAAATTGTTTACATTTAGTCATCGTTATAGAAACGAAATTGTGTTGAAATAATTAAATATGAGATAGCAGTGCTGATAATCTGTAATCAGTAAAATTTAAAATTATAAAGTCTTTCTTCCTATAAAGCTTATTTCATTTCCTACGTACAACATCCAATAAAGAGCCATCCAATGTGATCATATCATAAACTTTGAAGGGTTGCCTCTCGTGAAGGAAGTGTTTGGAAAATCTTATCAACTATAATGTGATAAATAATCCAATTATAATAAATATAACAAATTATTTAGGCCTTAAATGCCAGTTTGTTACTTTTTTTCGGTATTTGTATCCATTCTATGTGTATTTGAAAGCCAGTGAATGTAATCTACAGTTGTTGTTGTCTGAAAATGTGAATATTATAAATAAATGTGAAATAAATAATGTATGATAAATTATAAATTACCTCGTTTGTAAAAATATTGACGTGTATACTTAAAATAATCAAAACATAATAAGCTAAAGTAATCCAGACAAATAGCATTATTCGCTCTGTGATACTAACAGGAACGAATTCAAAATAAGACAACAATAGAAAATAACAAAAATAAACACTGAACTCAATAACATTATAGCAAATAAACTAGGAAATGTGTAGAAATTAACTATCTGATGACAAACAGAATAGAGTTCTATATAAGCATATTGTATATTCGTAATTTCAGTTTCAATAGAATCAACAATTGGTAATTTAACCATCAAAATTGTCTTACTTTCTAGGTCAATTGAAATTTTATTCAATTTAAGTAAAAACTCATTTATAGATTTTATTCTGTTGATAATTATATGCAAAACTAAACTGTATTGTGTTAAAACCCAGTTGCATATAATTGCTGGAATAGACCATGCAAAAAATATTATCAAAGGACGATTAGCTAATTGTAGTACAGTTGCAGTAAGACATGTTAAAAAATGAATGAAGAATAAATAATGAACTCCAAAATTATTTAGCAAAACGTATCCATTACACGTTTTTAATATTTTATCAATTTTTATCAGTTGATCAATAGCTTTTGGAATAATTTCATGTTGGATAACAAAGTATATCAGAATTAATAGCGTTGTGGTAGTTGCATAAAGTAATAAACATTTTCGAACCACTGTAGTTGTACTTTGCACATCAGATGTTCCATGTACTTGAGTAAAAAAACATACATGTAAGCTCGTGTGTGATTTGACTAGCAAGATATTGTAAAAATGTTTGTAGTAAGATTTTTTGATCAACTGAGTGTCTTGGTTAATGATTTTTGGTTGAGTGATAAAAAATAAAGTAATGTTCCATGAGAATATTCCGAATACTTTGAACAAAAATGAATAAAAATATATTAAGACTTCAGCACTGATAGAAAATTTTGAAGAAAACATGAGAATTAAATAAAAATATAACAATACACAAGACTGATAGATTAGTATTACGTAATTTACCAATGAAACTATTCTGCAACTAAGCTGTTGACTTTTTTTCTTAAACTCAATCGATCAACTTGTAAATCAATTTATTGTTGGCCTTATGTACATTATTGCTAGTTACCATTATTACCTAATTTATTATTCACTTTCATTTATTAAAAGTCATCGATAAATATGAAAGAAAAATTCTTTCATTTATATGGAAAAAAGTTTTCGTGTGCTTTGTAAGTGGAAGTAGGAACTTTTTATGTATGACTATCGTTGTAAAATCGAAATTGTATTAAAATAATTAAATAGGAGACAGACGTGCTGGCAATCTGTAAAATAATATATTATTGTTTAATATTGAGAGGCACAATAAGTTAAAATTATTAATATAAACTGTTAATTTATATTATTTTAGTAAATATTTCTGTGCTAAATTATAAAGATAGATTACCAATTGTTTATTTTTTCATTATTCTCTATATACTTACAACATACAATAAGGATCCATCTAATGTCATTATTTCATATATTTTGAAGGGTATTTTTTCATGTAGAAGATATTTCGAAAATTTTTCCAACTGTAACGTAATATATAATTTGATTAAATCAAAAGAAGATAACTATATATTTACATACCTTTTTTTCTGTATTTTTATTCATTTTAGACGTATTTAAAAGCCAATGGATGTTATCTACTGTTCTTTTCTTCTGAAAATGCAACATACTTAAAAATTATTATAAAACTAAAGTTCATAATAAATTGTAAATTACCTCATTAATAAAAATATTGACTTGTACACTTAGAATAATTAAGTCATAGTAAATTAAGAGAATCCATACAGATTGTAAGATTCGTTCCGTAAGAGAAAAAGGTGCTAATCCAAAGTGTGTTAGTAAACAAAAGTAACAGAAATAAACACTTAACCAACTTAAATATAGTATAGCAAATAAAGTAGGAATTGTATAAAAATTAACTATCTGATGACAAACAGCATATAGATTTATGTATGAATGTTTTATTTTTGTAATTTCAAAATCAATTAATCCAGAGACTGGTAATTTAATAAAAAAAATTGACTTACTTTCTATGTCAATTGATAATCTATTTAATTTAAATAAACACTCATTTATAGATTTGATTCTATCAATTATTATATGTAATATTAAACTGTATTGTATTATTACCCAACTACATAAACCTCCTGGCATAGACCATGAAAATAAAATTATCAAATGATTATGACCGGGCATTCGAAGCCATAATGTACCAAAAAAAATCAAGAAAGTTATGAGAAATAAATAAAGAGTCCCGGAATTATTTATCAAGGCATAGCCATTACATATATTTAAAATTTTGTCAATTTCCGCGAGTTGATTGACAACTTTAGAAATAATTTTTCGTTTTACAATAAAGTGTATCAAGATGATTAATATTGTAATAAGTCCAAAAGATACCAAACATTTTCGAACCACTGTAGTTGTTCCTTCCACATCAGTTGACTCATGTATTTTCGTAAAAAAACTTATATGTATTCCCATGTAGGATACGATCAAAAAAATATTGTAAAAATGTTTATAACAGAATTGTCGAACTGATTTATTATCTTGGTCAGTGACTTTAGTTTGTGTAATAAAAAATAAAGTAATTTTCCATGGAAATAATCCACATACTTTGAAAAGAAATGAGTAAATATACAATAACACTCTAGCACTGATAGACAATTTGGACGAAAGCATGAGAATAAAATTCAAGGAAAAAATGAAAAAAACTGATAACTAAGTGTTATGTGACTGAATAGTGAACTATTTTATAAACTGAACTATCAGCATAAACTCAATCAATATAGTTATCAATGTATCCACAGTTAGGCTTATGCGCATTATGGCTATTTTGCATTATAACTAAAGGAATTATTCTCTTCGTCCATTTTCTTAATTTGTTTGATTAAATGTAGTTTTATCTAACAGTTTTGGAATCAATCTAAGTGCCTGTTTTTTTTCTTAAGCGTTTTTCACTTGAGCTTATCGTTATTGAAACGAAATTGTATTATGATAATTAGATAAGAAACAGCCGTGCTGATGATCTGCAATCAAAAGAAATTGTTTTAAATAGTGATCATGTTTAATTAGATTTTTTGAATTTTATACTTACAATATATAATAAGGAACCATCCAACGACATCATCTCATATACTTTGAAGGGTATATTCTTGTTCAAAAGATTTCCAGAAAACTCTATTAACTTTAATACAATAAATAATTAAATAGAAAGAGAAAAAAAAAATTTTTTCACATACTTTTTCTTCTGTATCTTCAGCAATGGAACACATATTTAATATCCAATGAATGTTATCTGCTGTTTTCTTGAACTATCAATGTAAATTAAAATTTCTTTCGATCGATTCCATTATTTTAATATTAATTATAAAAATAATTAATGGATTTGTAAATTACCTCATGTGTAAAAATATTTACTTGTGTAGCTAGAATAACCAAATCATAACAAGTCAAGACGATCCATAAAATATCAACTACTACTTCTTTTGTAAGAATTGACCATTGTTGAAAAAACACCACCAATAAAAAATAAGAATAATATAAATTTAACGAACTTATGTATATTATTGCGACTAGTGTTGGAAATGTATAAAAGGCAGCAATATTGTGACAAATAGAATAAAGTTCCATGTAAGCATATTTAATATTTGTAATTTCTGGTGTGATTGATTTTGGAAGTGGTAATTTCACAACGAAAATTGACAGAAACCTTAAATCTGTTGATGTCTCACATAATTTAAGAATATAATTATTTATAGATTCAAATCGTTTCGTCATTGAATGTATAATTAAGCTATACTGCAGTAGAAGCCAATTACTAAGAGTTGCTGGTGTGGTCCATACTATAAACACAATTGGAGGTTTATACGTCAATTGAACGTATGGTACAGTCATAGCCATCAAAAAATTAATCAAAAGAAAAATATAAAACCAAAAATTTTCTTTCAAAATATAACCCCTACATTTATTTAAAACTTTATCAACTTTTACTAGATGATTAACTATTTGAAGAGCAGCTTTTTGTCGCACAGTAAAAATTATTAAAATAATTATAGATGTAATATATCCAAAAATTATGATATTTGACCGAACTGCTTTAGTTGTTCTTGTATTATCACTCGACTCATATACAAGAGCAATATCATTTGCATGTAAGATTGTAATTAAAAATATTAATATCACATTGTACAAAGAACCAAAATGTGATTGGTATAATGGAGAAATGACATGATCTTTTAATTTTGTTTTATGAAAAATAGAAAAAAGTGAAATATTCCATGGAAATAATCCCCATATTTTAAATATACATAAATAAATACAAAGAAATATTTTAATATAAAAAGAAGATTGATTTATGAGTTTTGTATTTTTCAAATCACGTTTGTGGAAAAACTTATCCATTTTATTTTTAACGACTTAAAATTATTGATTAGAGTAGAATTAATTCAAAGATCCTGTGTGAATGGACAGTAAACTATTTTGCAACTGAACTACCGACATGTTTCTGAAACTCAATCGATAAAGTTGTTTATTTAATTCCAGTTAGACTTATTGCTGCTTTTTAGCATTATTACTTAATTTATTATTCACTTCGTCCATTTGCTTAATTTGTTCGATCACATTAGTTTGAGAATTTACATGTAGATCCAAAGTACAATTAACCTATCTTCGATGGATATTTATGTGAGGTCAATATAAATAATCGATTTTTTAAATATTGAATTATTTTTTTTTTTTTATCTACAATAGACAGAATAAATGAGTTAGTATGATGATTAATGATTCGTGATATTTTGAAGAAAAAAACTTTTTTATTCTCAGGTGATGAGGTTACAATGTTCGAGCTGTCAAATGATTTTTCTCAACTTAAAAGCTGCATTTAAGTGGAAATTAACGGATTGACTTGTGAGATAGACAAAGAAGGAAAACAAAACACGAGTTTTAACTTATTTTGTAGGTAGATAAAATGTATTTGACAGCTCTATGACGTAATGGGGCGCTACTTTCAATTAGTTTAGATGCTTTAGCCATTAATGATCAGTAGCTTGTATGGTGGACGTTTAAAAAATCGTTAAAAAGCCAACTAAGAATTTAAAATATGTTACAGAGTCTTTGGAAGTTTAAAAATACTAAGCAAAAGAATAATTTTCATCTCATAAGAACTCTTGAATTTCTTTTTAAAACAAATTTTTACAAAATATTACTTAGTAAAATATTTGAGAAATACATTAAAATCATATAAGAATATTGATCTGATTGAAACAAAACAGAAAGTTTAATAATTATTTTTCTTTCTTTTATATATATATATATGTATACAATTGAAATGAGATAGATTTTTCGGTCAGTTAAGTGTTTAGGATTCAAGATATCATCGACAACTGATGGATGATGTGTCACTGCCAATCATACAAAGATCATCAATAATTGGAATAAAACATAAATCCATTTTTAATCTATTAATTCTATTAAAGAATGCATCATTAATTTATTATATCTCCTTAAGAATGCCGTGTTAGTATATAATTATTATTTAATTATCCAATAATTGAATTTAATCTTTTTTCAACTTTTCCATCATCAATTTTTTTTTATTCCAAAACAATTCTTTATTTTTTTCTATTTGTTAATTTATTTTATTTAGTATGATTAATTGATTTATAATAATATTACAATCACTTCGTGACGAATGATGTCTGAATCAATTTATGATAATTAATGATGTCTAAGCCACTTTAAGAAACAATTCCTAATCAAATTTAAATCATTTACCTTTCATTTTTTTAAGTATTATTTTTAAAGATCCAATGTTTTTTTTTATTATGTTAGAAATTCATTTAAATAGCTTAAAAAGCATCTGTTGATTAGCCAATTGATATTATAACTATAGAATTTTAGGTTTAGGGAGAAATAATGAAATTATAAAAGAGTCTAATATGTTTGTTTACGTCATACTATTTAATAATTACAATTTCAATTATATATAATTATACCATTGTACACGTTAGAACGTGCTCTAAATTTATTTAACTGTAGCAAGTAACTTTTTTTCATTTAGACTTTTACGTATATTACATGGAATGAAATAACATTTGAGACAAAACGCTACACGAACGTAATACTTGAGCTTCATTTTTAAAAATCTTTGTCTTAAATTATGACAAACCAAGATTATTTATATATATAATTCTTTTATTATAACTTATTTCATTAAGCTGCAAAATTTGTTCAAATAAATAGATTTATTCCTATGGAAATATTCTAAAAATATTTTCAATAAAAATATTTAAACATAAAATGAACAATGATAATAATTTTTTCTTTCTTTAATTTGATTAAGACAGTCACAAATAAATTTCTTTATCACTGGTTTCACATAATACATACATAAACAAACATTAAAATCATCTTTCACTTATGCAGCTCTCAGTTTAAATAATGACATAACGAAATATAGTAGCTGTTCGCGTAGGTTTGAACGTGTAATTGACGACACGCGGCGTGTAAATAACAAAAAAATAATAACGAAACAAATAAAATACAATATTAACACTGAACCAAGTCAATTGACAACAGACTCACTCACATTCTCAATAGAATCATAATGACAATAATTATTATACTTTTTTTTTTAATAATAATAATAATGTAATAATATTATTTTTAATAATATCGTTTAATATTCAGTTTATTAAATACATAAGTAATAGAAGTGTAGGAGGCTTATTTGTAAAATTCAATTAAAATGAAAGCTGAGAACACAAATTCGTTAAAAAGTAAATTTTTCGACTTAACATTCAGCCTTTTCATTATTCCCAGTATATCACGCCAGTATAGTCAATATTTAATATAATTATGTACAATATTAATTTTTATTTATTTAAATCGCTCATCTCGTCGCTTTTTACTATGTATACTCATATAGATCCCTGTATACTTCCGAATTTGTTTTATCGTAACAATTATTTTCTCCTTTTTTAATACAATCACAACTAAATATGAAATGTCCCTATAACCAGGTGATTATTTTCCTGTGAAATTCGTATCACAAGAATATTCAATATATCCAATTACACGAGTTTGCAATCTAGTTAATAGAACGCACTTATGTCTCGACTGTTTTTCTTTTATCATGGGTAATTTATACACTTAGCCAACAATTATCGGCTTTAAGATTTATAATAAGCTTTGTTTTTTTTTTCGTTTAATTTACATTTAAATTTTCATCCTTTTGTTTAATTTATTATTTATATATCAGATAATTATTCTGGTAATTTAATTTATTAGGATTACTTATTAATCGTTATAAGTAGATGTATTGAATTTATCCAATTTTGTAGGTTTTTTTACACTATGTTTATTTATTTTATAGTTTATTAATTTTTATCTTCAAATGCTTTAGATTTGAAAGCATTGTCGAACTGCACAGCTAATGTATCTCAACAGCTTTATCATAGAATTTTTGTAAATTTCATATATGTCTATAATTCTTCTATAAAATTCCAAACTGATGCCTCTTCCATCATAATTCATTGACTAATAAGTTTTTTTTAATTTCATTTTGAAGTTTAATTAAATTTAATGCTTTTTTTTAATGAATTTATTACAACAAAAAGCTTAAATTTATTTCTAAACATAAGTACTTTGAGTATTAATTTAACAAAAGTCATGTGTAAAAATTAAATTATTTTTGTACAGTTTTTATTTTATTTGTTCGTCAGCTGAGATTGACTTAATTGATTAAATTAAGAATAGAATAATTGACGAAGTTTCAGTTTTCGGTATAAACTTTACAGCAATCTTTAACCCTTAATTTGGCAAATAATTTCTATCTTAATATTTATTTTTAAAATGTTTGATTAAGATCAAACTTGTGAAATATTTTACAAAAATTCAACTTACTTCTTGTAATCTACTTAATTTTAATATTAAAAACTTTTTCAATGAACAATAAAAATGGAATTGATAGGAAGAGATCCAAATTAAGGGCTTGAAAAATATCTTGACAATAAAATACGTCTATTAAGATGAGTAAATTTTAAACAGGCTCAAAAAATGTAAGAATTGGTATCAAATAACTCAACTAACAATAAATTGCAAGCGCCATATTAAATATAAACCCACGAAAATATAAATACAGCGTCTATATGTTATAATTTATACAGTCGGACATAACTATTAAGTTATTAATTAATCAGACGTTCTAGATTTAATCTTACACACTAATGAACTTTTTATTTCATCTCGCCCACTGAGTAAGACTCTCTGCAATGTCATATTAAAACGAATAATCTTTGTTTATCTTAATTGTTATTGCATTTAGGTGAGAGTCTTCTCGGAGTCTTAGTCCAGTCTCAATTATTTTTAGGTATACGGTAAATACTTTTGAGCAGAATTGTGTCTATTTGGCTTCCGTTCAACTTTAAATAGTCATTTGACTAGAGTATCCCCAGCAATCGAATGACGTAAGTGTCTCTTCACTTGAGTATGTAGTGATTGATCAACGATGTAAGTAATACATTACATAAAGAGATCGATGGCTACAAGATTCGAATAAATAAATGAATTTTACAAAAGCAATCGATCTAATTGGCTTTGATGACGATACTTGCTTGATGCAATAATGGAGAGATCGAACGACAAATCATTCGAATGCTCTGCTAGGATGTTGGTGAAGTGAGTAAAATGCGGTTGTCATTCGATGCTGCAGTTTGTCTTGTAAATAAGTTGACGGGACATTTGCACAGGAAGCCTAGAAATTCTGTTCACCGTACATACCGGGAAACCGGACAGAATGTGCTCCGAGCTCGGCAGGCGAGAACTCGTCCTATGTGGCCAAATGGGCGAACTGGCTTGGGTGCGGTGCAAACTGGTAGGGATGACCGTATGGCGACATGTGATACGGTACGATGTTCATACTCGCCATCTTGTGCTCCTTTTTCCACTTCATTCGTCGATTTTGAAACCATATTTTGATTTGACGCTCTGTAAGACACAGTGCGTGTGCTATCTCAATGCGCCGCCGTCTTGTCAGGTAGCGGTTAAAATGAAACTCTTTCTCCAATTCTAAAGTTTGATACCTCGTGTACGATGTTCTTTGCCGTTTCGTTTCACCATTGGCATTCACAGTACCTGTAATAAAAACAACAGGCATTTATCAAATTTAATTTATTACTTAATCAGAGATTGGAGTATATATTGTGTATGGGTAAATCTTGTCTACAAAAACTTTCTGCTCATTAGCTTAATGTATGCCAATATGTGGACATTAGATTACTGCAGGTTTGTGTAAATTAGTACAGTAATCAATCTGTGATGTTCATTTTTTTTTTTCACTTTATTTACATTTATTAGCGACCGAGTTGATATATCCGAATATGTTGGGGTGTAATTAATGAGTTTATGTTGATCAACTTTTAGAGTAGGCTTAAGATAAGGGGTAAGATTGACGTTACAGTTATATGATCATGGAAAAAATTATTAGGCCACAATTCAACTGTTCATTATTTTTTATAAAGTATTAAAGAAATAAATCCTCAAGATAAGAAGAGATCTTTTAGTTTTGACATAACTTTTTGGATCAAATAATCATCATTTTAATTTAAATTATTAGATTTTAATAGCATGAAAGGATAATTTTTCTTCCAAAAACTGATGACAAATACTTGGAGTTAAAAATATAAATTTTATTAATATTTAATCTACTTGCAATTGAAACAGATGTAGAAATAAGGTGACAACCTCATTAATTATTTCAACCAGGCGTATAGTTAATACCCAGTTCATAGGATCTTAAACTCTCAAGATGAGGTAGCTGTTAGTTTTTACTTATTCGTATATATGACACATCTCAATCATAAATAACTTTGCAATGTTATTATTAACGTGTCGTACTGCACACCTACTAGTGTTAAATTTTCATCCTCATAATTTATTCTTTCTCACGTTGACATATTATTATAATTATTTTTAAAATTTCAGAGGATATCACAAATGTGTCCTAAGTATCATTATTCTTCCTACACAATCCAAGTGATGTATTTAAATGCGGTTTCATTGATGAATGAAATTAATTTTACATCAATAAGACAAAAACAAGAAACTGAGATTATTTATATTTCTTTGATTCGTTTGAAGTTAATTTCAAGTTGGAAAAAAATTCTTTTTCATCAATTATTTATTCAGAAGACATTTAACCTTAGATATTTAACGAGTGAAATTGGTGTTGAGAAAGAAGAAGTGTGTTCTTCAACTGTGTTGAAAGTATACTCTTATGTACGCGGATATTAAAGTGACGGCTCACCTAGAGCAATAATGAATACGCTATTAATATACTACAGCTTCCAGGGAGTCTAGTCTGTTAACATGCACCTTCACATATATACACCAAGCATGTAAGCAAACATTCGTTGAAAGAATGAGAAAAATTACGGAAGCTGACCACTAGACGTTTACACACCATAAAAAGTCCCGTTAGATAAAATGACCACTGAATATTTTCCTAAAAAGTAGAAAAGTTTTAATGTCTACGTTATCACTTTCCTGACCATCTAACACGCCACTCATATTGCACAGCAAAGCATAATATAATATTCCATGGAAAAAAATTGCTGTAGTCTCAACATTATGTGGTTCACATCATGTAAAATTGAATCAATAACATCAGCTTGTTAAAAAAATATTTTAAATCTTTTTGTGCAATCTTTTTGATGATCTAATTTATTTTATTGGATTGGATGACTACTTAGAGTTAGTTAATTCTTTTTTAAGCAAACACTTAAAAAGTTTTATTAGCGTTGAATTGTTTATAATAAATTGATGAGAATTTTCGAGATTTGAATATTGATATTATTAAAGGCTTGTATAATTTATTTAAAAGCTTTTACACGAAAATTTCTCACATATGATACCACGTGAAGATAGATGAGGAATCATCAAGAATAAGAACGACAACGAGGTTGATGAATTTTTTTGTTAAGCTATTTGATTTCAATCGGAACGTCAACGGGCCGGGAATGAACCCAAGACATAGTTGACAGACAGCGAGACTGTTGACGAAAAAGAAAGACACATGAGGAGAAAGGTTTTTTGGAGAGGGAATAAGAATGAAAGTTCGATGTCTTCTCGTGGATGAAGATTATGCACTGTTCCAAGTGTAGATACATCGAGGATTATATTGATGGTGAACTGGTGTGCAAGGTTATCCCCGATCTTCATTGTGATTAATTGTTGCTCGTGTTTTACGGACATCGATATAGCTTGACTGAATTCTGGGGGACAAGTACGTCCGACGGCTGACGGGTTTTGATTTTTTCTGCAACATTCCATACACGCCGATTATAGTACACCTCTTCTTCCGGAACAAATTTTGAGATTCCTTCTACCCAAGGGAATACATTTTTTTTTTCGATCGTTTTAATTTTTTTCTCTTTTATTTGCTGGCATTCTTGATGGGGCTTTAAACGGTACCGCGCACGAAATACTGCTGCAATAATGTAAATCGAATAAACTTGTAATCATGAATGAATAGATTAAATTTCTTTTTGATTATTTTTTTTTTAAATTTATGCAAAGAAATATTCCACTACCTTTCTTAGTTTGAGTGTAATGATTTATTGAGATAAATAAATAATGTTAAATAATAGTTTTGAATGATAAAATTATTTTAAATAAAAAGAGTAGAATTTGATGAGTATATGGACGAGAAAAATTAGTAAATGGAGAAGTAAATAAAATTGGTTGAAATATGATGATTAAATGAGAAATGAAGAAAAGAAACAGTAGGTATTTTAGCCCAAGTGCTTTCAAGATATCTCAGTGAGTAGATACTCATAGAGAAGTTGCTCTATTTCTTTGAACTGCCGTAAAAGGAATTTTAAACACCAAATTGTCGGAAAACTAGATGTCACATTAAGACGGTAGACATGACACGCATTTAACACTGAAGCTTCCTTTTTCATTTTTTCTCCTCTACTGTCGTTTCTTCCTGTCTCCCACATCCTTAACATGTGCAATTTCGTCGAAAAAGAATTTATTTTCATTTTTCTTCAATTTTTTTTTTTATTTTAAAATGAAAAAATCCAACTTTTTATATCTTAATTTGTTCTGGAATTTTTTAAACAAATTTTTTAAAATTGATAATAGGAATAATAATGAATCATTTAATGGGAAAATATAATGTTAGATTAATGAAGAAAATGATAAAAATAACAGAATTCTCTGGATGATCGATTACCTTTTTTAAAAAAATTTAATACGGTGAATAAATATTTTTATTGCACATGTCATATGTCAGTGTAGTGTTACTTATACAAAGCACAAGTTCATGAAACGCGATAAAGGTTGTTGAGAGTGACTGTACTTGAAAGACAGAGCGTTTGGGGCGTGTCGAGATCTCTATGTTTAATCGTTAAAAATATCTACAGAAAATGAACCCTTAACCCTTAATCTTAGGTCTTTTTCATAAACCTCAACGCTTCTATAAATTCAGCAGGCGGGTATTAATTTAATCTACATACTTTCCACTATCTAAATACACTGTATCATTTTTCATAATATTTACTTATCATATTGCAATCTAATTAGACACAAACAATCGATCACGAATTCTTTTTAAGTCGATTAAAAATAAAAGAAAAATTTTTGGAGTAAAAATATCACCACTGACTCAGTCGATAATTATTTTATTAATAAATAAATAATTATTTTTCTTATAAAACTTGAAGACTTGTTATAATATTTATTTAGTGTAGGAAAAAATAAAAATAGTTGATTGTTTATTTTTGGTGACACATTTGGTTGGAGAAATGTATCCAATTGAAGATTTAGTTATTTTATGAAAGGTATTTAACAATGAAAATAGAGGATTGAAATTTAAATTTGGATTAGCTAAATTCAACATTTAAATACTAAAATTTAGACATGTCTACTAACGTGAACACATCATAAATAACTTTCTGACCGACTTACTAGTGGTTGTTATACCGTCAGTTACTGTGATTAAATCTCTTCTCCTAGGTGGTCCGTAAACTCTTTTACTTCGATGTCATAGTATAACATCTACGCGACTGTAACTCAATGTATAAGAATACGATACAGAGCAAGTATATAGAAGTAACGGAAAAAAATACTTCATGCAACACTTCTTTCTCTTATGTTACTCACTGTTCAAGGAGCTTTAATTATACCTTGCAATGCTATTTTTCATACCTTTATTAATGCATACGGTTCATGTGCACTTATCAAAAGTAGGTGAAAGCAATAAAACTATTTTTCCAATTTTAAATTCACTCATAAGATTATTTAGTTGCCACTGATTTAATTAAATCATATAAAATTTTTTAGTGAAAAATTGTGGAAGACATAAAAATTATTAAAATGGAGTAAAAATATTGTCAGTGTAATCAGCGTAAATAATATCAAAGTGTTATCTTGAAATGAGATTAATCTATCTGGATATTGATTTAAGAATAGCTATGTACTTCATAAGGCTTAAGCTCTTGCTCTCCTTGCAAGGATTAACTTGAACAAAGAGATAACAAGATTAGACGACACAAATGGTACATTCTGGCTTTTAGCCAATATGTTATGCGGCAATAATGGTTGTATCCTCATACGATTTAAATTTACCTAAGTGCATTTTGCGTCATTCCTCAGTACTGAAGAACAGAAGAGAAGATAGCTTGTAGTCTATTAACGCGCGACTTTTGATTTGCGATCTTGGTGAACTAAACAGCTGCAGACCAAGGTAACATCTCAGATATTATCAAGTACGGATAAGTAAAAAATAATTTTAAGGGGTTTGTGTATGCTTTGTTCAGGTCTACTGTTATTTTTACAACAGTTATATTTATGATCATCAACTGTTATTTGTACAAGTAAATATCTATTTTAAATTACTGTGTAATTAGTTCATTTACACAGTAAGTGAGCAAAATTAAATGTTGCTACTTCAAATAATTCAAACAATTTTTCAAAAATCTCAACAATATCTTTTGAATAAAATTTTAGAAATAGTAAGAATTATTGAAACAAAAATTCTAACAGTTCTTTCTGAAATGTTATCATTATTATCATCAACGAGAGATGAAGTTTATTTTTAAGAGGACTCGAGAAGACTTTGAAACTTCATA